TCAGTTTTTATTGTTCCAAAGAGGTTTCCACCGCACTCCTTACTGGTATATCCCTTTTTAAAGTGGGTGCTGCACTGATGGCGCCACTACAAATCGAAATAGTAAAATATATCACCTGCATCCCAAAGTAAAATCTTCAGCGAGTGGTCATTTTATTGATGTACACACATCTCGTCATAAAGCAACATTTTGGGGCCACTTAGGGTCCCTTCATCAGGCTTGATGTAAGCTTTTCCAGTCTCTTGTTAAAAGATGAAACCTCATTTGTCACTGTGGGCAACAATTCCACTGTTACTTTTCTCTGTTCAAGATTTTTGCCAATGAAACCCTCCCAGTTACTGTTCAAGCTTTGCTGAGTCATAACAAATACACAAAATGAACATACATCCACATTTACTATTTTATTGACATGTGGGTGTAACATTTGGTGTTCTTTCAAATGTCTAAGCTGATAAAGAAATGAAGTATAGAGTAAACACAGTCATTGCAGTCTAAGCATTGGTTTAGAGCTGTGCAAAATCACTCTACCTAACAGACCTCATAAAGATATTGTATAATTTGATGGGTTGAGGCCATCAAATGGGCCAAGGTAAGGGGACAACATTTTTAAAACAAAACCCGGTGACATTTTATCCCCGGGAACATAAAATAAACCATTTTTTTTTTTTAAATACCTGATCCCCTTATCCACCAAAAGTGCGGCCTCCCGTCTCCCACGCTGTTAGAAGCTGCATACAGCGCGGTGCTGGTTACTACTTAAACAGGGGCTAAAAGTTGCCAGTCAGCCCCTGGCTCCGGCAGTGTGTGGTGTATTGCACTTTGCCAGAGTTGTCACTGTTTTTTATGTTTCTTCGGTTTTTTTTAGTTTTACTTTATTTGTATGGACTGTAGGCTTCATTCAGGTCTCCACACAGCAGTGCCGTTTGCTGAGTTCTGGTGACCTGCAGTGCAGTCCAGTGCGCATTTTTTATCATCGCAGATCACACCTGCATTGTGGTGTGAACGGGGCTAATAGAAAACAATTGTTTTTATTTGTGTCCTAGCACTAACTGGCGCCACTAGTGTTAGCAGGTCTTGATGTAACATTCAACCAAGAGCTTGGTTATGATATGTACATTTTATAGGAGTCCGACCAATCTCTTGTTGGGGCAAAAACGTGTGATCGTGCACCAAAGAAGCTCCTGCTTTTTTTCTGAGTTTAACTGATATCACATCACATAGATGTGAACGGTCACAATAGAATAACATGGAAATTTGAGCGTTCAAGCGCTTCTGAAAAAGCGCTCTAAATAAGAATGGGGCTAAGGGCTTGTCCACGCCAGCCCATGTGCATTTCGTATTAGGCTGCTGCGGAATGTGTAAGGGCAATGTGATGCACTGCTGCAGCCTATCTTAACTTCACAAAATGACACTTCATTGGAGTCTCCTCACACAGCAGTGCATTGCAAGGTGTTGTAACCTGTTACAATACAATTATGTCTGCATACCTGCATCATTTTATCTCAAAGCATATCAACACGGTGTGTTGGTTAGGTCCCTATAAAAAGAATGGCTTTTTTTCTTATCTTTGTGTAGTGTTTGTGCCAACCAACACTGTTTAACACATCACTGCAAGCCTGATGTGAACCAACCCTAAGTAGAATCTGTCACTTTGGGGTGACTTATTGATACTTTCCTTTACCCCACTGTAGTGGCGGACCTAAGAAACAAAGAATCCTGGGGCAAGATTTTTTTTGGACACCCCTCTTCCTGCTACCAAAGGGGGGACCCAGAAGAGTTGAAGCTGTTATAGCGACAAAGGGTGGGCCAACTCAAGTTTGAACCCTATGGACTAAGACTGGGATGCCATTAAAGTTTACGTGCGTGTAAAAGCAGGCGCCCCAATACTTTTGGCAATATAGTGTATATTAGTATTACACCCAGTTACATAAGAAATGTGTATACATCAGGGGCTGAATATGACATAACTGTGGCCATGACTTTTTCTGCTAAAGGAAACTTGTTAGGGAAATGCAGACCCTGACATTGCTCATCCTGTTAGGAAGAGGCTATTTGCCTAGCTGACATACTGATCCTTTAGCGATGGGAAGTTAAACAGAGCAGAGTGGCTGGCATGAGGTAGAAGCTCTTTTTGGTCTTGTAGTGTAAAAATATTGAAGTGCATTTGAGTTTAAGGGCCCATTCACACCACAGCCAGATCATCTCCAGACCAGATTGTTTCCAGACCCAAAATGCATCCTTATGTATCCCCCTGCTATTTCTGGGCTCTTAACACCAGCGCAGTCCATTCCAGACCAGAAAAATACTGCATGTCTCATTTTGTCTGGTCTGGTCATTTTAAGCTAAAAAAAAAAGCTCCGGAACTGGGCAATGTCGCAGTAAAAACTCGGCAAACGCAATGCACTGCGTTCCAGATCTGGTCCGGAAAATGGTTTATTCATGCTATTGTGGTGACTTAGCACATGTTATGCTGCACATTGCGTTAATGCGCCAGAACACACCAAAAAGGTACATGTGCCATTTATGCCAGTGCTGCAATACATCTGTGTCAGCAAGGCACAGATGCTACCACAATTCAGCAGTGTGAAAGGGTCTTAGTGGAATGTGTGACTTTAGCATTAGTCGTCACTGAATACATTTACTTGTTACCTGGAGTGTGTTTTATGAAAAAAAATCTGAAATAGTATCTGAAATATATTTATTTTTATTTTTTCTTTCTCTTTCTTAGGTTTTTAATGAAATTTACCCTGTCTGGACATATTCTTACCTGGTCCTGCTGTTTCCTGTGTTTCTTGCCACGGACTATCTGTGTTATAAGCCGGTGATCATCGTGCAAGCTTTAAGCCTGATAATTACATGGTTTATGCTTTTGTATGCTCAGGGTACATTGGCTGTCCAATTCCTTGAATTTTTTTATGGCATGTCCACTGCAACAGAGGTAGCTTATTACTCCTACATTTACAGCATGGTCGACCCTGACATGTACCAAAAAGTAACCAGCTATTGCCGTACTGCCACGTTAACTGGTTTCACTGTTGGCTCTGTTACAGGCCAGGTTCTGGTGTCTGTGGCCAACTGGTCCTTATTCAGTTTGAATATAATTTCTCTCATCAGTGTCTCTGTTGCTTTTGCTGCCTCGTGGTTTTTACCTATGCCAATGAAAAGTCTTTTCTTCCACCAAAACTTAAATGGTCGTGACAAAATGAGTGCGGATCTGGAAAAAGACTGTTCAAATAATGGCGGATTGGCACAAGCAGCTGCATTAGAAGAGATTGAAGCTCAGATTCCCTTGAACAACGAGAAGCATAAAGCTGATACACAGGTAACTTTAATATATTAACACGACAAAATAGAATGCATGCTTGTATTATAAGTGCACTTATCCTTACCCCAATGTCCTCCCCCCAGTCCCTCTCTTCAAATAATCCCAATAAGGTGCTGCGCCTCACACATATAAAAATGAGCCAACTGAAGAGGAGGCTGTAGTTGTATATTCCTTTTAACATCTGTCCCTAGATCAGCCTCCTGTAATCTCTTGCACAGCAGCACTCGGAAAAAGGAAGGACTTGGAGCTTATCAGATATGGCTGCATGCAGGTGCAATGACCGGTATAACAGCAGGAGTGAGCAGAGTTAATGACTTATCAGTATGCAGCTGGTCCTGGAATGTGACCTCACTAAATGAAAAAGTGGTGTCACCCTTACTATCTGTGCTGTATGGCAGAGGTGTATGGATTACAAATGAAGCTAAACATGTTCTTTGGCAAATAAGAAGCCATGTGTGTTTGTAGTTCAGCTGTGTATTTAGCAGTTTACATGGGAGTGAGCTTTAATGTAGCATTTAGGAGCATGTCTAGGTGTCAACAATTATATTAAAGTGTACCTGCAGCTAATTTCAGTCCCCCAACCCTAAATCGAGTTTTCTACTTTCTAAAAAAATAGAATTCTGTTAAGTATAGTGAAAAATTGACAAATAAAAAAAATAAATCTGGGAAAGCGGGCCATTTGAATTTCTGTGAGGATGCATGCAGCAGTGAGTTTTCTTTAACCACTTCAAGACCAGGTGTTTAGACCCCCTTCCTGGCCAGGCCATTTTTCAGTATTAAGCGCTGCGGTACTTTGACTGATGTTTATTCCGTCATGCAACGCTGTACTGAAATTAATTTTATACCATTTTTTTGGGCCAGATAGAGCTTTCTTTTGGTGGTATTTAATCACCACTGGGGTTTTTATTTTTTACTATAATTAGGACAAATTACAGAAAATTTTGTTAGGAAACATTTATTATTACCCAGTTTTTTTGGTAAAATATAAAAGATCGGGTCAGGTCGGGTAAATAGACACCAAACATGTCAAGCTTTAAAATTGTGCGCACCCGCGAAATCGCAGAAAACTACCATACCCAAAATTGGCCATAGGCGACACTTTAAAAGCTTTTACCGCTCATCAGTTTAGTGTTATCAGTGATTGATGGCCCTAGAATTATTGCTCTCACTCCGACGTTTGCGGCGATATGTGACATATGCGGCGTAATGGGCGCAATCGTCTTTTTTGCACGTATCAGGGTTTTTTTTGCGCACGTAAGGGGGCGTGTCTGAGCGGACGTCTAAAGACGCCCACTCAGATCTGGAGAGCTCCGGGCCGGCGTTTTTTTTACTACGGCCGAGCCGGAGGTAGTTAAACTGTTGGAAGGTCACAAATAATATTTCATTAATTTCCATGCACCGCAGTGGAGCCGTTGTTGTGTGAACAGGTCCACATAAAAACCAATTTCCCTTACACAGCTGTTTCTGTTTCATTTAAAGTGACACTAAACTCAGGAGTTAAATCTTACAAATGCATTCAAGTACCTTAACTATTAACAAAAATGTAGCTTATTTGTGTATCACTCGGCTGTAGATCCTCAAATCATCTCTGAATTGGTGCTGATACTGTCCGTCCTTCTGGAGGGTGGCTATGTTTGTTCCCCATGGTCCCTGTATGTGTTGTAAAGTAGTCATTTCTCCAAGCTCACTCCCGTGATGGACTACAATCTCAACACAAACAGGAGATTGTAGTTCATCACAGAAGCGAGCTTGAAGTGGTGGCTACTTTACACACAGGGACCATGGGGAACAATAGTAGCCACCCTCCAGAAGGAAGGACAGTGTCAGCATGAATTCAGAGATGATTTGAGGATGATTTGTGATACACAAATAAGCTACATTTTTGTTAATGTATTTGTGTTTTTAGGATTTAACTCCTGAATTTAGTGTCACTTTACTGATAAATAAAAACGATTTACTTTTGAAAACAGCTTTTTTTCACAAATGTTTGTTGTGTTTTTTTGGGTTTTTTTTAGAATATATTTTATTAAGCTTTTCCAATACATTCTTTTAGATCATTGACCCACTCATCACAGTATATATAACATACACCTCTCTTTAAATTCCTCTTTCCCGCTTCTACATATCAACTTAAATCTACATCTTTTTCCCTTTTTTATCCACTTTACTGCCTCTTAATTATCAAAACAAATTTAACACTCTTTCATCTTTTATCTCTCATACCTTACACTTCCCCATATCCCCTTCTTCCCTTGCCTGTCTCCTACAGACCCTCACAAATCCTCCAACCCTCTTTGACAAAAAATAAAAGAAAAGGGGGAAAAAAAGGAGGAGGGAACTTGGATATTGGGTCATCAACTTTGTGTCATTGGTCCTGCATTTACACTACAGATATATCTAAATACTCAGGGAGGTAGAAAAGTCAACCCAGGCGCTCCATGTCCCCTCAAACATAGAATACCTATCGTAGAGTTGTGCTGTAAACCCCTCCATACGCATTATATTATTGAGTTCACATACCCACTCCTGAGTTTGGGGAATACTAGTAGACTTCCAATGCCTAGGAATAATTGCTCTAGCCGCTGAGAAAACAAAGAAGTCCTCTCTTGCTCTTTTGAGGGTGATCCTCACTTCCGGGGGGTCTCTGGCAAAGACACTCCCGTCAAATGCTCACCTATGTCAAAAACAGAGCTCCATAATGTCCGTTGCAACTCACAAGACCACCAGATATGCAACATTGTCCCCTCCCCCATTCCACATACAACACTTCTTTGTAACTAAGGGGTTTATTCTATGTATAACTGTTGGGCATCTTTACCATCGTGTTAATATTTTGTAATTTATTTCCTATGCTTTTACTGCTACACTAGACTTAAGTCAGGTAGAAGGCTTTATTCCACTCTTCCTCCACTACTGAATGCCCCAACTCGTTCCCATTCCCTGATGTAATGAGGGTGAACCGGGAACACATGCCTTAATAAATTAATTCACAAATGTTTAAAACTTGGCTCAGTTCTGTATACACAACTATATGACCACATGTTCTACTGTACATACAGTTGCACAAAAAGTTACCAGTGTGGTTTTAGAGCTGAACTATTTTAAAAACTTTATAAAGGAAATCACCAGAGAAAATAGTATTTCCTTGCTTCCCCAAATATTAAGAACAGAGTTTATGACCTCCAGTGTTCTTGCATACTTCAAATCTAATGTCAAATAAGGTGGATTGTATTCTGTTGAAGTCTTCTGAACAAGAGGAGAACTCGGAATAACCAGACTACATGGAATAACCAGACTGCATGCAATCTGGTCATAGGGCAGTTTCCTGCTGCTCAGTGTAATGTGCTTCTCTGTGATAGACTGCAGCACCTTTCATAGCACACCAATTCTAAAGGGCTGCGATAGGTCCCTGGCAAGGCTAACATACTGTAAGCTGAATGATTTACAGGTGTGGAGAGCTGGGTAAAAATAGCCACCAATGAGTAAAACCTACATTTCTGATCATAAGGATAACCTTGAAAGCCCATCTCTGGGGAAACAAAAAAAGTACTCTTGAAGTGGGTCTACCCCCACACTGCAAGGGTTAAGTGCTTGTTTTTGTCTAGGGGCTGGAGTAAATGGCAAAAGATTATGAACCAAAGGGCATGGGGAGCTGGACACTGCCAAGAGGGACATGTACCAATGCAAAAACAGTTTTAGAAAATACCATTTAATAGGGATGTGGCCATGACAGATTTTCTTACCTGAATCCCACTATGGTCATTGCTGTCTTCTTCTCCCCCTTGGCTCTGGCTGGTTCTCGGTGTCCTCACATCTAATGCAGGTCTATGGAACTTGCACTAGACATAGTTACATAGTTACATAGTATTTGAGGTTGAATAAAGACATTAGTCCATCAAGTCCAACCTATTAGGAACATGATGGCATCAACGGCCCTCAGACCATGGAAGCGAAGGGAAGAAGAAGCTGCAGTGACCAATCTTGCAGCCAAAGAGAGGGGCTTTTACCTAGAAGTTCTTCAATCTTTTTTAAAGTTGTGACACTCCATTTTGGAACATTTCAAATTGTTTTGCAAGCATCCATTTTGTACAATGCTTAGTAGTGCAATGACAGCAGTACTAGGTTGAGCCAAATTGTTTTCTAATAATTTTTTTTCTCTGCTTGGTAAGCTAAGATACTGTAATCAGCATTGCAGCAAGGAGCTTCTTGTCATGTATAACTTTGCTGAGCTGCTTGCTATAACTTAATTATTCAAGCAAGCTGGTGTCCCCTTTATGATGACACTCTCGAATCCTAAAGCTGTATACCTAACCTGCCTAAGTTCAAAAGCATAGTACATCTTTTTAACTTGAGGATTGTGTGCCTATGGTGTTTATGCTATAGGAGCTAATGTGCCAAAACTTAAGAAAAACGATACCTCTTTGCAAAATATGTTTCCAGTATTTAACCAAGCAATACATTGGTGCTTTATACAACTAGAGACACAAGACACCTTTTTTAACAAAGGTTTAGAAAGTAATTTATGAAACATCCTTAAGCCCTCGTTCACACCTGAACGTTTTGTAGCGCGTTCTACGCTCGACGAACGCTCTACACAACGCTCAAAAATATAAATCCCATTGTATTCAATGGTCTCGTTCCCACCTTGGCGTATTTCCGCCCGTCCCTAACGCGCTACAAAACGGCCCACGCCTGAAAAGGTACATGTACTACTTTGGGGCGTTTTGTTGCGCGTTTCCATTGGGATACAGCCAAGTAGCCTTTGGAAACGCGCGACGGTCGCGCAACTTTTTTTGACCGCGAATCGCAGTAAAAAACCGCGCGACGGTCGCGCATATGCAATACGCCTAGGTGTGAACGAGACCTTAAACTGTCTATTGCCATGGTGTCTGGAATTTGTAATGTTAGATCCTTCCCTAATTTCATGTGCTTTTCAGCCATCTGCACAATGGTGAAATATTAATTCACCCTTGGATTTCACTAGGATGACTGAAGGTCTGCATTGTTCACCCTACATGTTAGCTGCATGAATTGTTGGACAGTCCCAACAATCCTCAGGCAGTCATATGACAATCTGACCAAATAAACTACACTATTGAGAAGCAGTGACCAACAGGGAATCCACTGGACAAGTTGGAGAATTGTTGAAGGAATGTGTTCTCTATAACGGGCACCATTTTGCTGAGATTCTGATAGTTGGGTTATTCGGTAATAAGTTTGTCTGGTATGCATGTACATGTCAAATGGAAACATTTATTTTAAGAGACTAATCATTCCTGATGGAACAATTGGTGCTTGGGTATAACAGTTGACTCCACAGGTTCCATTTTAAGTAAAGGCAGCCTTGCGGGGGCTTGCCTTGAGTCTGGGCATAATCGCCAAGCGATTTTCTTTTTTTTTTCCAAATTTAGTTAGCTAGAATCAGATTCTGCGGATTTACCCTTTCCTGCTTTATATAACCTCCTGAATGGCTTGAAAAGCCATAGGGGTCTCTTTGCATATGTTGAAGATCACCATTATAAATAGCCACCACATATGATCCTCTACCAACATTCCCTATTGTCTATAGATTTCTTATATATTTTAAATGTTTAATGCAATACACACTGTAATATTGCACGTTTCTGATGGAATAATTATCCAATACAGTGCCATAAATACCATATTACGGGGTAGCACAATGGATTAGTTGTTGCTACTTATGAATTGCAGCAATGGGGTCCATTGGCTCGAATCTCGGCCAAGACACTATCAGCATAGAGTTTGCATGTGCTCCCTGTGCTTGCTTGGGTTTCCTCCCACACTCCACACAAGACATGCTGGTAGGTTTTTTGGCTATTGTCTAAATCAGGAGTGGGCAACCCGGCCCTCCAGCTGTTGTGGAACTACAAGTCCCATGAGGCATTGCAAGGCTGACAGCCACAAGCATGACTACCAGAGGCAGATGAATGATGGGATTTGCAGTACCATAGCTGGAGGGCTGTAGTTGCCCACCCCTGGTTTAAATTGACCCTAGTATGTGTGCTCACATCCAAGAATCCCAAGTGCAGCCTTCTGTAGCAGACCCTGGTAACACTCTGTCTAATGGCTAAGGCAGCTCTGGTATGCATTTCAGGCATGAATCCGCAGAAAAGTACGGTTAGATGTGCACCATAGATTGCAACTTGGTCATTGTAATAGGGATATTGCGGGAAAATATCCAGATATTGCTGCAGTTTATAATGTTGGAAAAAAAGATAAAACATTAAAAATAAATTCATACTGTCTGCCTAATATTTTCCCTTCACTCTGCAGTATTCCAAAGCAAAGAGTTTAGCCTTAAATAATGTGCTAAGAACACTATGGAAGGACTTTCTGCACTGCTACTCATCACGCACACTCCTCTGCTGGTCGGTTTGGTGGGCCTTGTCAACATGCGGATACTTTCAAGTGATAAATTATTCTCAGGGATTGTGGGAGAAGGTTGCACCCTCTTCCCATTCAGATATCTACAACGGCAGTGTGGAAGCAGTTTCTACTCTCCTGGGTAAGTTTAAGGTCAAGTCTCCAGTTGTATTGTTCGTCAGTCATTCTGTAATGACTCATCAAGTTACTGTTTCATACATTGATAAATCGTGTGCACTGCGCTTCTGCTCATAAACGTGCATAAACTTCCAAACAATGTGTACATTTTCATTAAACAATAATAATCAATATGACAATTTTCAATAATAGTCCTTAGTAAAGCCGTATAAAGTGCTTTTGTGCAAAATCCACAATGTGACAATGATCCTCTGAAATAAAGTGCTCCCGATGTGTTAAGGTAACTAAGAACACTCACCAGAGATCCATGACCATATAACTCAATGGTCAATAAACGTAATTGTGGTGAGTGTCTTTCATAGATGGGATATTCACTCTTCTGTGTGAACCTTTCCTGGAAAAAGTCAAGGGACGAAATGCGTCGGAAAGGATAGGACACATACTGAGGTTACACCATAGGTGACTAGCAGGTGAATTTCTGGTTCCGGTTTGCTTAGGTGGAATCGATTTGATTGTTTGCTGCAAGGCGATTTCATTCTGGCTATCTGGTAAGTGTGCTTTATTGTTGCAATTCAGTTTTTTTACGTACTTCACCATTTGGCGCATTTATTCCTCTTCTATATTGGATTTCTCCCCTCGCTGAGTGAGTGGCACCTGCCGCGTAATACGAAAAGGAGGATTGTTTCATCAGAAGAGTGAATATCCCATCTATGAAAGACACTCGCCACAATTACGTTTATTGACCATTGAGATATATGATCATGGATCTCTGGTGAGTGTTCTCAGTTACCTTAACGCATCGGGAGGATCATTGTCGTATTGTGGATTTTGCACAACAGCACTTTATACCGATTTACTAAGGACTATTATTGAATATTGTCATATTGATTATTATGTTTGAAAATTTATGTTTATGAAAATGTACACATTGTTTGGAAGTTTATGCACGTTTATGAGCAGGAGCGCAGTGCACACGATTTATCAGTTCACTTATTTATAACACAGAAGCTGACACTGTTTAGTGTAATCCTTGCATTCACTTTAGGAGAATATTTAGCGCAGCGTATATACACACACACACACACACACACACACACACACACACACACACACACACACACGTTCGTGTCTATCTTTATGCTGCCTTTCGTAAAACAGATTCCTTGTTTGTGGTCACTGATGGCCCTGCTTCTTCCTCCACCATTTCCAGAGGTATTAATCAGATGATTGTTCAGGCGTATGCTGGTAAGGGTCAGGAACGTCCTTTCCCTGTTTACTGCTCATTCCACCAGGGTTTTGAGTGTGTCCTGGGCATCTGCTCAGGTTTGCAAGTCCGCTACCTGGTCCTCCGTTCACACTTTTGCCAAGTTCTATAGGATTGATGTTGCAGCATCTGCTGACGCTAGTTTTGGGTGCAAGGTTTTGCAGGCAGTGTTTTGACTGTGTGTCTTTTGGGCTCTTCCAGTTCTGTTTTATTATTGTTTTGGACCCACCCGATATTTGACACTGCTTTGGGACATCCTAATGGTCAAGTTCTTCTGATGGCTGTGTCCTTCAATGAACGGAAGAGAAAATAGGATTTTTGTACTCGCCATAGTCCTATCTATAATTTCTGAAAAGTTGGCCTGAAAATAAAATTGGTTTATCATTACTAATGATTCTTATTATGTTTTTTTAGGTGCTGTGACCGTTTTTGTGATTGGGTACATTAAAATTTCCTGGTCTACCTGGGGAGAGCTGCTGTTGGCTCTGTTTTCTCTGGTTATCGCAATCACAGTGTACATCATGGACATTATTGGTAACATTTGGGTTTGCTACGCCATGTATGTCCTCTTCAGAACTATCTACGTGATTCTCATCACAATAGCGACGTAGGTGATTCTGATTAATGTTTTTAATGTTTGACTTAGTGGTGTTACTGCTTGCTCTTCTGTAGTCATACAAAACAACAATAAAAGGAGTATAGAACAGCTTTCTATAAAACATGTAATAACGTGCACTGATTACCATATAGTGCAATATTATTTGTATCTATTAAAAATCTCCTACTGTGCCCCAGAGGATTTTAAAATCTGGTATTTGTGTTGGCTTGACAGCACTTTGTTGTCTTTTGAACAGAAGTGTTTGCCCGCATTCATTTGACCTAAAAGCAGGTAAAGTCTGGTGCCTGATGTGTAATGCAGTACGGGGTCTTAATCAGTTGACACTATTCAGTGGGGCGTGCTATGGAGACCTGTTTATAACAATAGGAATGTTACTGGGTAGCAGAGCATACGTAGGCATCAAACTAACTGTAATGGTGCGGTAAATAAGGGAAGTGGGCAACAAATAAGGGAATTTTGAGTTTTCGTAGGTGCCCTGGCCAATTGATCTTTGTTTCCATTACTGATGTAAGTAGCAGTATGCTGTGCAATGCTGACAGCAGTCTTTTCAATAGAAGCAATATGTATATTTGGGATAAATGCGTGAGCTAAAATGTTGAGACAGATCTGGCCAAGGGACTGTATAGCAGTTCCATTTCAATACTGAATGCATCTATTTGCTGCATACACATAATTACATTCCTTGTATTTTTCTCCTCAAGAATAACAAAATTCCCTTTTTCTGTTTAGATTTCAGATTGCAGCTAATTTAAACATGGAGTGTTATGCTCTTGTGTTTGGAGTTAACACTTTTATTGCCTTAGCTCTACAAACACTGATGACTGTCATAGTTGTGGATGCCAGTGGCCTTGGTTTAGATATATTTACTCAAGTAAGTACCTTCCTCTTATGACTCTGCATTATCTTCTGGCGAGTGTCTACAAAGCAATAACTGAATTGTGATGTATTTTCTTTGCTTGCAAAACAATCTGAAAATAGTTTTTGTTTTTTTAAACGTATAGTACATAAATACATAAATTATTATTTGTAGTAACTATTATCACTATTGATAATACTATTGTTATTATTAGTGAATTCTGGCATATTTTTGTAGAACAGAGTTTAGTGCCTTCAGTTTGACCAGGGTTGGTGCACTCAGACTGAGAGGCGAGACTGATAAGATCACTGGGCTTTCTGCTAAACTCCTGCTGGTTTGCCATTCTAAAATCGCACACTATAGTCTGCTTTGGACGTAGATTAAGGCTGGCCACAGACAGCCTAACTTTGGTCGGTTCGGCAGGAAGTTGAGCTGTGGGTTGCCCTGCAAGCACGCAGAGCTTGTCAAGTTGATTTAAGAGTAGACTGTTAATGCACTGAGCCAGTTAGAAAATTATCAGCCAAAAAGTGACTTCACTCTGTCAGATGTAGTCACTGTTTGGATATGCAGGCAGAAAATTGGGTCCTGTATGGCCAGCCTCACTGTCTATCTAATCCACTGCTGACGTTTACAAGTTAAAGCCCATATTAAAAAAAAAAAAAAAAAAAGGGTTTAGTTACCCTAAATTATTTCTTCTGAAAGTTTCGACAAACGACATGGTATCCTTTTTTTAATTGGGCTTTAAAGTGGACCTATCACTTGGATAAAATTATCCAATAACATCTTAAACCAGACTCGGAGGGCTTGCCCACACCAGCCTGAGTGTGTTCTGGCCAGAATGCACTGAATTGCATTCCGGCCTGCTCACTTTGTTTTGGGGCGGGAGTGGGCATGGTGGTGCATTGAACTCGATGGCACTACAGCCACTCCCTCTGTCCGCAATGCAATCGGCCGCTCGGGAACGTGTTGCGGTGCAGTCAGAAAAAATAGTGCATGCCATTATCGGGCCAGAACGCACAGAGGCTGTGGTTAACTAGCTCTTAAACCTAGCATGCCCTGGGAGCCACGTGTTCTATAAAAGCACCAGCCATACCTATCAAATAATAGGGAAGCTCCTTGCAGGGAAGTCTGGTGCAGTTTTGGCTTTTTAGCTGGAAAGTCAGTAATTTCATGCAGGGCATGTTATGGACTGAAATGAAGACCTCTTAAGTGCCTGTCATTGAGCTTCCCTGTAACCCTATCCAGCAGACAGATGTTAAGTAATGGAAATTTAACAACTCATCAATTTTTTTTTTATTATTTGCAGTTCAAGATCTATGCTGGGTATTTTGCCATCATTTCCTTTATATTTTTGGTCAGTGGACTCTTTCATGTAGTGAAAAACTGTCAGCGAAAGCGAGGCACACCGGAGTCCGTGGAGACTTGAGATTCCCTCTGAAGACAAGTGTTTCACTTAAGACGGCTGTAGACCGTTGATACTGAAGCAGAGATCTAAGTGGAATGATCTGGCCGACACCAAACCATACATTAATGCAATGTGTATGTCACCCATGCAAAGGCATTTCATAGCAAAAGGTACACATGGCAGTTTAGCAGACAGGACAGTTCCATTGATGATGTAATCCTGTCACATTAATGCTGCATAAAGTCTGTTATGGTACCCATGAACATAAGATGGCTGTTGCTGAATCCAGCCAATGGCACTTGTTGTTATATTGGGTTTTATTTAGGATGTGAATGAAGTACAATTGTTTGTAGGACAATCATTATGAGATGAGCTTTTTATTGTCACCCTGATTCTGTATACTGTCTGAGATGGTACTCCTAGACGGTTGTTGCTCGATCCAGCTAATGGCACTCAACACATATTAGCTTTTCCTCAGGATATGGCTAAAGTGCAATTGTTATTTGTAGGACAACAAGTATGAGATGAGCTTTTTCTTATCACCTCCAGCACCACGATGTCTTTCTTTTGTGGTGTTAACTTTCTTCCTAAATAATTTGGACCTGTAGTAGCTTTCAACTTCTTTGTGGCTTCTTTGTGCTTGTACAAGATCATGAGATGTGATATGTCAAGATTAGGGATGCACCAATATATCGGCCGACGAAACATATCGGCCAAAAATGGCACTTTTGGCTAAATGCTGAAAGTGCCATTTTCCTGCCGATACATCGGCGCATCCCTGCTTTCTTTCCTCCCCGCTTGGTGCTGCTCTATGTCCCAGCTGGAAGGAGAGAAACTGTGACAGCCGGCCGAGCCCTGCGGGAGAAGAGCGCTGTCAGCGGCCGGCGTCTCTCCTCCCACACCGCTCAGCCTCCTATCACAGTCCGGCAGAGCCACAGGAGGATGAGCTCTCCTCCCACACCGCTCGCTCAGCCTCCTGTGACAGCTGTCAGGAAGGAGAGCGAGAGCAAACACTCAGTGATCACTGAGTGTTTGTAAATAATTGAGGACATGGTATGGTTACTATAGCCTCAATTATGAATGAATGGGAAGTGATCTACATCACCTCCTGTCCATTCATGATTGTGGTTATAGTAAACACATTATGTTCTCAAGTTATGAATGAACAGGAACACTGTTCATTGATATCTGGGGCTGCAGAAAAAGAGATTGAGGACTCTATAAATAAAAATATTTAATAAAAAATGAATTAATAAACAAAAATAAATATAAAAAAATTAAAAAGTTTATAAAAAATAAAATATTAAAAATTTGAAACAATTAAAAGAAAAAAAATTTCGGTTTCGGCCTGACAATTTTTTTATTTTTGGTTTTGAAATTTCCATTTCGGTGCACCTCTAGTCAAGATCATGTGATTTTAAGAGAATAGTATAAGGCTGGAATACTGAAAGCCTATTGGAACTACTGCTGCAGTTGTCAATAATAAGATAAGGATCTTAAATTCTGAGACATGGAATTAAACCCATTATTTATTTTTACATTGAAAGGCAGCAGTTACAATTACACTGTTGTACAGAGATGTGGAGTTTTTGGTTTTTGTGGGGTTTTTTTTTATATTGTCAGCTAATTCAATCCTGGCACAAAGACAGGCAGCTGATATACAGCCTATTTGCCAGAACACTACCTGTGGTGATTTAAGGAGTCAGTGGAGGCCTGAGGGTGCATCAGTTTACAATACAAAAAAGCCAGCATACATTACAGTCATCTTTTCTATTTCAAAATACTACTGTCTTGTAATCCTGAACTCCTTAAAATGCTGCTTGGCTCTCTCTGACCTCAGTACTTTGAGTCAAGGTTCTTTTTGTTTCCACTGGGACTGAGGCTGATTTACTAAAGTGACACTAAACTCAGGAATTAAACTTTAAAAATGCATTCAAGTACCTTAACTATTAACAACAAATGTATCTTATTTGTGTATCACTCAACTGTAGATCCTCAAATCATCTCTGAATTGGTGCTGATACTGTCCTTCCTTCTGGAGGGTGGCTACTTGTCTTCCCCATGGTCCCTGTGTGTGTTGTAAAGTAGCCACCACTCCAAGCTCACTCCTGGGATGGACTACAGTCTAAATGTAAATTAGTAAACTAAACATGAGATTGTAGTCCATCACAAGAGTGAGCTTGGAGTGGTGGGTTCTTTACAACACACACAGGGACCATGGTGAACAAAATTAGCCACCTTCCAGAAGGAAGGACAATGGCAGCACCAATTCAGAGATGATTTGAGGATCTACAGCCGAGTATCACACAAATAAGAAAAATTTTTGCTAATGGCTAAAGTACTTGAATGCATTTTTAAGTTTTAGCTTCTGAGTTTTAGTGTCACTTTAAGAATCTTCATTCAAACTGAGGATTAACTTCAATTATCCAATTTTATATAAAAAGCAAATGTCTGTTCATCTTATTTGCACATCATTGGGTATTCAAAGTGTACACCACCATAATTTGACTAACGATGCTCAAAAGCATTAGTAAATCGGGCTCAATGACTAGCATTGTACAATGAATTACTTTTCAAATGGAGTTTTCATGGTAGTAAGTTTGTATTCAGAAACTGCAGTCAGTGGATTTAAAGTGGAATAAAATGGTGTTTAAAAAAACATTGCCTACTGAAAGAAAATCATATACTGAATGACGATGTCTGTATGGAAGGAACAGATCATTACTGATAGTACATTATTCTTGAGTTGTCATTTCTTTGCCTTACCTGTTGTATTTTGTGTAAAAGTGACTTTCGTTCACCATGTATAGCCACAATAATAGATGTGCTTTGTCTAATACTCTGTGAGACGTGTAAATAGTATTTACAGTTACAAATGGAAAACAACAAAGAAGGTTTATTTAAAGAAAAAACTGTTCACGTTAAAAATGTTTAAGTTAAAAATGCGCATTATGCCATAGTACATTTGTAATGTTTCAAAGCACATGGATATCTATTAATGGTGTGGAAATCAGGTAAAAGTGTAATCGGAATGGTAAAGCTGGTTCTTTACCCATGTTTTCAAGTGTTCAGTCAACAATGGCTGCTTTTGTTTTCCACAGTGATGACCTTATGTTAAGGGTATTGCTGCTGATTTTTTTTTTTTTTTCCTTCTTCTTTTGTTTAAGATGATTGCAGTTCACTTGTATGCATTTGCCAAATATCCAATATCCAGGAACTTTTTCTGTTATTGTTTTATATGCGTTTAAAGTGTGGGTCACTGAAACTTATGTAAGCATAGAGTTAAAGTGTGGGTAGCTTCTGGAAGTGCTGTACATAGTGTTTGGAAATTGATTACTCAATGGAGAAACGTAACCACCCATTCATTTCTATGCTAAGCTGGTCCATTAGGGCTCCACTAGTACACTTTAATATCTAGCACACTAAAATAAGAGAAGTGCAGCATAAACTAAAGCATGTTTGATACCTTTGGTTTCCTCCAGCTGTCTTTTTCTCAAACACATTTATACAGCACAGCGATGTGCTCTGACAGCTTTGGGATCACAGCAAAAAAAAAAAAAGAAAGCCTCTAAGTGTATGTAACGTATTTCCACATTCTTCAAAATTACTTCACCTTTAGAGTTTTAATGCCTATTTACAGATCTGGAAGTCTTCATGCATCTATAATTTTTCCATCCACAGTAAATCTGTGACCATGTAAACCATGACTGTAGTTCAGCACTTTGTGTTTTGCAGTCGGAGCACAGCCACCACAGATGGCAGAATAACACAGGGATCCCAACCTGAAAGAAGCAATTTCAGGGAGGTGTCCCTCTCATTTCAGGGAGGTGCCCTCTCCCCCCCATTTCTCTCCCGGGCGGCCGGGAGCCGCTATCTAATAGCGGGAGACTCCCGGAGCGTCCGGGAGAGTTGGGATGTCTGATAACATCAGCTACCTTCATTCACGCAGTATTTCTCTTGGGCCTGTTTTTAAAAAGCAAAGCTCAATGGAGTAAAAAAATAAGTTGTTGTCCATGGCAATCCATTCGATTTGTTCTGCCAGGATGAAACTTTGGAATCCAGTTGCCATTGACAACCAGATTTCATAAATGTATCCCTGTGATCACTTTTCTTTTGAGTCTCTTGGTCACGTTTTTAGCACTGCCACTATGTGGTAGAGCTTTATAAAGTATGGGATCATAACAACATAAGCTTCCTGTTTTCTAATCGTATCTTTAGAAATGTGTAGTTACAGCATATTCAGTTTTCATAACCGCCAGAGGAAAAGCTGCAAAGAAGCCACAAATTACAAAATCACAAGATGGCAAACAAAATAACACAAATGATCAAAGATCTGGTGAAAAGCAATTGTTGTCTTCATGTTTATTTCCTGTGTATGCATATAAATTGTTTTTCATATTTCTGGATTCCCATTCCTGGACTGTATATATATGAATTAAATGGGATCTATTTATTTGACAGATTGTTGTCAACATTTGCCTAATGTGCAAGTTATGATATACTTAGCAGAATGTTTGAGATAATATGTATTATATAAGTGTATTATTTACTATTGTGCATATTTTTACACAAACAAAAATGTTGAGGTTTCTGGATATTTGTGTACATTATTTTTCTAATTTAACAAAATTTATTTTTGTAAAAAAAAATAAAGTAACTGGATTGGTGTGATGTAGTTTTTTTATTTTTTCCTTCCTTTTTGAAAATGAAAATTATGCTGCTTAATTTTGCATGGGTTCATCGAATTCAACCTACTGTATAGAAAAAAAAAATGTAGGCCTGCGGAAATTAACGATTAATCGTTAATTTTGTTGATCGATCAAAATTCTTTTGATCGGTACTCACCTCTCCGCCGGCTTCCGGGTCTTCCGAGAGTTCCGTCGGAGATCCGGTGACGTCACCGGACTCCTCCCCCTTCCCCAAGTGGCTCCATTGGCTAGCATAGGGAAGGGGGGAGGAGCCCGGTGACGTCAATGTCCGTGACGTCACCAGGGCCCGCAGCTCCTTCATGCAAATCCCCCTCCCTCCCGCGCCGCTTTGCCACCTGTAGCAGTAGAATGTGCGGGGAGAGGAGGCTGTGTCGGTCACCGGTCATCAATCAGTTGTTGGGAGAGGACCTGTCCGCCGAGATGAAGCAGCCGAGATGTCACCTGTC